CTTGGCAAAACGACTTTTTGACCAGACACAAACAAACAGAAGGTGCCCCAGCTGCAGGACTGTCTCCCTGCCCCGTGCACAAAGGAAACCCCCAAGTGCCCTTCCTCTGGGGCCTTATCTCCTCTTTTATTACAAAAGCCGATGAAACAAGGACCCCTCAACAGTCGTGACAGTTGTCACAGGAAATTGCCCCTGTTTATCTGTCTCATCTGAATGCAGCTATGAAAATGCTCCATTGAGGCACAAACACTGAAACCGCCCAGGGGCCACCCTGCAACTGAAGGAAAGGGCTTAGCCTTCAGTCATTCAAAGCCCGCCCAGGATTCACAACGGTCTCGTCTTCGAGACCCTCCCGACAGCTGTGCAAAGGAGGTAGCAGAGAGACCACATAGGAACAGCCCCTAGGACTCCAAGGCTCATTTCTCGAATAATCGAAAAGGCTCTTTAATTTAAAATGAAGTGTGTGTAGCCGAAGGGGAAATACGGCACACTGGGACTGATGACCTGCAAGTGCGGGAGGGCGTGGGCAGGTCTACACGGAAAAGGCGGCGGTTGGATTTTCTCTCTGTAAACTGAATAGTCACCACAATGATGTATTTGTCTAAAACACATATTACCACATGGGGTATAAAATGCATGGTGTGATATCAACTATTTTACATATATATTCTACAACACATAGAAAAAGGACCGGTTGCTTCTGGGTGGTGGAATAAGGAAGGATTATTTCTCTTCTGTATTTACTAAATTTACAAAAATGAGCACACACTGTTTATAATTAGATTAAAATTGTAATGCAAACGTGTTTTGCATTCAATCTAATCAAGAGACACTACAAAGGGGTAACCCAGGAAGTCTTTAAATAGAGGGTATAACCTTTCAATACCGTCAACCAAAGGAAAGAGGTCCCAGGCGACAGTGAGAGTAAACATATTGTAAATAGAAAAATAAATTGCAGCGAGAGGAAGGGAACAAGGCAACAAGCTTTCTCCCCTGCAGGCTTCTGTGAGCAGGGCTTTCAGACAAAGCACAGCCCACCAGAGTTAGCATCAAAGGAAGGTGCGGGCAGGGCAAAGCTCCATCAAAGCCCCGCTGTCTGGGGCGGGTGTGCACTCTTTCCTGCAGGGATGCACCTTCCCAGGCTGCATTCAGCAGGGGCCCAAGCGTGTGCAGAAACTACACGGCTGCCATTCCATTCTCACAGACGCGTCAGGAGCACTTCCACCCCCAGAAGGTGTCTGCCCCACGGATGTGTTTGTTCAGGTCACTGGGCTGAACAAGGCCAGGCCTCCCAGGTACGCAGGACACTGAGCAGTGCCTCAGCTGCCTCACATCTCCTGGAAGCAAATAAAGCCTACAGGGAACCCTGGCCCAGTGGCTCAGCTGGTGGGAACATTGTCCCGCAACACAAAAAGGTTGGGGGTTCAATTCCCAGTCGGGGCACATGCCTAGGTCGCAGGTTGGATCACAGTTCGGGGCACGTACAGGTGGAAACCAATTGATGTTCCTCTCTCACGTGCCTGCTTTTCTCTCTCCTTTCCTCTCTCTGTAAAATTAATAAACATATCCTCAAGTGAGGATTTTTTTTAAAGAAAAGTTGAGGCCATGGGGAATACTCCTGTCTGGTGCCTCAAGAACTTAAACGGAATTCATGTCTCAGGAGACCAGACAGGCAGGGAAGTGTCCCCACCGGACACTTACTGACCAGGTGTGTTTGCTGAGGCTTGTCACAGCCTCCTGAGCACCAGAGAGGCCAGGCTTCCAGAGTTTGGCCACTTCATGCCTTCACCCGGCAAATATTTTACTGAGAACCTACTGTATGTCGGGCATTGTGCAAAACATCAAAATTCCAGGTGGGGCCTAAAACCAAGACACCCCCCCCCAAAAAAAGGTGTTCTTAACAAACACCAGTAACTCAGAATGTCAAAGACCTAAAAAAAAGCACCTTCCTCTCTGACGGGACACACTTCTGCTGAACCTTCCAACCAAATTAAAGATCAAACACTCAGGGTACAAATTACTCAAGTTTATGAATTACAAAAGTACAAAGGACCCCAGGTTAGAAACAGAGGAAGAGATACCCCCCCCCAAAACACACATACACCCCCAGCTCTCTCCTGTTACCCTTTTCTCTCCCGCCTCACACACCTCAGGTCATCTCCAGCCACCAAGGGACCCATGTCATTTGGAATAGATTTTTCTATCTCAGATACAGCTACTCAGACCGCCTGCCAGAGGACTCCAAATGCTTCGCAACGCCATCTGTGCCATGCTGGGCCTTCTGCCCCTCCCAGGGCGATCTGGGGAGACTGGAGCGAAAGAGCCAGAGGAAAGGATCAGCTCTCGTTCCTGTAAATCCTTCAGAGAAGCCGAGATCAGCGAACTTTCAAAGAAATTCAAAGCTACAGGAAAAAGATTTCGCATCAACCTTCCTCAACCGTGTAATTTTTTTTAAATGGGGGGGAAATGTTCAATATGGATTTCAAGGCATATTTTTATGTTCCAGGTAATAATAGACCATTGACATGGAGTTTTTGTGGGACCATATGTAATTCAAAATAAGGACCTTTCAGAAGAGCTACCTACAGCCCTACAGTCCTTAAAATGTATTGCAAGTAGTGTTTGCTATGGCCTGGGAAGAAATATCAGGGCGCATACTCATAGAGAGGTGAATAATAGACAAATGCCAGTTCTCAGGAGGAAGGGGAACCAGGACAGAGCCACAGCTGAGGGCAGAGTGTCCTATCAACACAGCCTTAGAGAGGTTCTCCCGCTGGTCCCAAAAGACCAGACTGAAAAGGGCCAGTGCCACTTTCACATCCACTGAATATTCTAACTACAGCTGGAAATTTTAGCAAAGTGCCGGTTACAAGTTGGAAGTTCCTTCTTAGTACCTCTGTCTAGGAAGTCACTTCCTAATTCTCACACAGGAAGGGAACAGCCCAGGGTGCACAGAAACCGTGGGGTCACAGTGTATTTTTAGTGTGTTTGCTGGACCACCAACAGGTACAGAGAAGTTCACGTGCATTCTTGCTGGAGGCTTACGTTTCTCCGAGTTCCAGGCTTTCCTGCAGAGAACCACCTGGCATGTTGGATCCAGGCAAAACTTTAAGTGGCCTAAACACATCTCCAGAGACTAGACCAAAGCATTCGGTCCTTTGTTTAAATTGTTGGAGCCTCAGAGTTATCTGTGCACCACTGGGTTCTCGCCCTCTGGGGTGGAGTCTGGCCTGGTCTCCAGGATACCACGTCTGTCTGCTCCTGCCCGCCTGCATCCACCGCCTGGCTGGCCCAGGGCAAGTGAGGCCCATTTTTAAATTCCCTTAGAAGTTTCACAACCACGGGTTTGGATGAGGTGACAAACCCCGTGGTAGTTTGCTGACATGAAACTAAAAATACCCGACGGCAAACAAAAGCCATCTTTTACAAGGCTGGCTGCGATGTCCTGAGGTTGCAAGTGGTGGTGTCAGACCATATCCTTGGCAGCGGTGGCCGCCTGGACAACTGCTCCCGGAGCGGAGCAGAGGGGCTGCTCTGTCCCGGCGCTGCCAAGGCATCCCGCTGCCGCGGGCCTGCCTATCTGATGGAAAGGACGGCTTTACTCCTCGGCCATCGACCCAAACGCTGGCCAGATGAGTGCGGGTCTGCTGAAAGTATCAGACACACACTGAAAGGAGAAGACAGGGGCAAAAAGAAGAACAGCAAGCCCGTTCCCCTGGAAGGAAACGTGTTTCCAGCTCCCTCCTCCTTGAAATTCTAAAAGCAAACTATTGCTGCGACTACGCTGAGAAAGAACTCCTGAGTGTTAAAAAACAACAACAACAAACGGATTTCAGAGTCAATGTAGCCCGGCCAGGCTTACTGGGAACCGGGGTGTCCAAAGCGGGGCAAGCACACCACGTTACCCCGTAAGCCTCCTCCGAAGGTTCTTTCTACCTGTTGGGCTTTAGAAGCGAACTGCAAACACCCGGCTCCAGGGCCGCCGCGCTCCAGGGTGCCCGTCCCTTCCCAGGTCCCAAACTTTTCTTCGTGCCCCTCGGAAGCAGCGAGCCTCGGCTCTCCCCCAGTCCAGATTTCAGATGTGAAAGAGTCTACGCCACCCGAGACTGGGAGGAGGGGACTTATTCCCTCAGGGCCGAGGGACTCCGGATGCTCCGGGCAGGGGAGTAGGAGGAAATGCAACCTGACGGTCAGCCCAAGTCCCCGCTGAAGTTTCCTCCAAAACTGCGATGGCCAAGGCGAGACCCAGGAGCTCCGAGGCCCCAGCGCAGAATCGAGGTTGGAGTGAAGGGGTGGGGGGGCTGGAGCAGGCCCAACAGCACTAGCCGCAAGGTCATTGCAGATCCGGACCCCGGGGTAAACTGCCAGCGCCAGGTCCCTTCCCGGACCCGGTGAAGGGCCAGCGCCCAGTACGGAACCTCTCCCCACACCTGCTCAGCGCGGCGCTGAGCCCCGGACACGTGGAAGCCTAACCCGGGGCTTCGGAGCTCGCGGCAGGCACTCTCTATCTCGCCCGAGAGCGCACCCTTCGCCCCTGAAACCCCTACCAGGAAAGGGCAGAGCGCCTGGGCGCGGGGCGGTCGGCTCCGGCGCCTCTTTCATCCTCCGACTACGGCAAGAGCAGAGAGGGAGTTTCATACACTTCGAAACTAACCCCCACCCCCAGCACCTTCCCACTACCTCCACCTTTCCCAGCTACCTCGCAGAAGGACAGACCAGAGACACAAAGAAAAGAAAGGGGGGAAAAAACTACCGCCCCTCTGGTCCCATCCTCCAGCCCGGAGCCGGAGGAAGCAGAGCAGGGAGCAAGCTCATCTTCCCACCCTCCCCACCCCCCTTCCCGACTCGGTGACCCGGGCATACCCGGGCGACAGGGAGCCCCGAGGTGGCCGAGGAAGAAGAGGTAAAGGGTGGAAGAGGCAGAAACCAGGCGGAGCGACCGAGCGAGAGCGCGAGAGAGAAGAAAATATCCAACAAAACCACGCTAACGCGCCCCCTACCTGGGTGCAACATACTTTGGAAATAGAAGATGACCAGGATAAAGGATCCCAAGCAAGTGGCCAGCACCATCCGGCAAATTCTGTTCATCCTCATCACTTCCAGAAGCGCCGGCTTCATGGCTTTGTCCTGCCTACGGGTACCGGGGTGTCCGGGAGGCGCGCCCGGGGCGCAGGAGCGGGGACCTCGCCGCGCGGAGCAGAGCCCGGGAGGCGCAGGGCAGGGTTGAGAGAGCTCGAGAGGAGGATCCGCCTGGCTCTGCGGCCGCTCTTAGAGCCTCTAGCCCCGGGCAAGGGTGTGGAAGACGCCGGAGTTGCTCTGGAAGTGCCAAGATGCGTGGACTCGCCGACTGCGCGCTCTGGATCCTCCCGCTGGTCCTCCTCGCTTCTCCTCCGCCGCCGCCTCAGCGCCTGCCGGCGGCCGCCGCTGCCTCCTCGCGGGCCGGGCGGCTAGGGTGCGAGCGGTGATGGTGGTGCTGCCGCTGCGCTGGCCGATGTGGCTGTCGAACCGGCCCCCTCCCTCCTCTCCGAAGCCTACTTCATTGCGCTCCAATGATCTATATATTCCGGGGCTGGGTTTTACCAAATGCAACTCGCAGCCCCTGGCGAGAGGAGGGCGCCTGCGGAGAACTGGGGGAGGGAGGGACCCGAGCGTCTGGGCGGAGCGTCGCGCTCCCCCCGCCCCTACCCGGGACTTGGTCGCGTCCAGCTGTTTCCCGGGGAGTGCAGAGTGCGCTCCGCGCTCCCGCAGGGTCCCAAAAGCCCTCAGTCCCCGGCCGGCTGGGCCGCCGTCTGGAGGTTGTGTCAGCGTTTCCATGACAAAACCCGGAGGAAAAAAATACGAATAAAATCGCCTCGGTGCTGCCACCCACTCATGCCGGCGTTTGTAGAAGAAAGTGGCGGGGAGCCGGCAGGGCACCGGGAGCGGGAAGGGGTCTGGTGGTAGGCTATGATTTCAGATCCCTAGGCAAGACGTGGTAGCCGGGAAGTTGCCCCTTGCCCCCAGGGAACAAGTACCCTTTTCCCAGCACTCAGGACCCGGTGATTTTCGCTTTCCTTTCAAAGGACAGCCCAGCTTGAGCGACGTTTTGGAAAGGGGTTAAAGAGGTTGACTTCAGGTTAATGTTAGGGAACTGCAATACCCGCAGGGGTCAGGAGACAGCTGGGCTTTCCCGAGGATTTATGGAGAGTCTTTGACACCCACCCCCTCAACAGAGCAAAGGGGCTGGTGGATGTTAAAACTCTGGCTTCCCAAAGGATAGAGCTCCCTCCAGATTCTCCAAAGTGCACACGAGCCTGAGCGGGGTGGGTGTGAGTGTGAGAGGATGCGCCCGCCAAGTCACTTTCATCCAAATCCAAGAACTGCTGGAAAAACCAAGCCCGCCTTAGCTTCAGAAGGTAAATGGAAAGATGCCGTTCTCTTGTACTGTGTGAAGTGATCCAAAGTGTCCAATTCCATGCATTTAGGTTGTTTAGTGATCAGTAAGTGGATGCAGGCAGTGTGGAGACCACAGGCTCACCAACCCAGGGCTCACTGGAGAAGCTCGATTCCTACAGTCCACTTACCTAGTTCTACCCAGAATCCACCAGCTCATTCTCCCGCCCTTTGTAGCTTCTGTAAGCAGAGTTAGGCGCCGTCATATCTTTTTGTATTCCTTACAAATGTACACAGTGTTTTCAAAACTTAAAGTTGAGTATTTAAATTCTAACAACAACGCGTACCAGGAAAAATATTATTGTCGAGACTACCTCACTTTCATGTCATATTATCAAATCGTTAGTACTATAACTTAGTGATGAAATAGGATAGTGTGTCTTTCAGTGCCTCTCACGTAATAGGCATTCGACAAATAGATACTGAATCTGAATGTAATGGGCCTTATCCCGTCCATTCATCAGAGACACAACTGGCAAACAGAAAGGCGCAGCAGAAAGCACCCCCATAACCTCAGTTCGCTTCCCCTCAAGTTTCCCTCCAGCAGTCACAATGTAGGGGAAGGCAACAAAAGCAGCAGCCTTGCCTTTGATTACAGAAGACAATCAATTACAGCACGATATTTATGTAGCTGGTTGGTACTGCACTAGTTTGTGCTCACTTGTGAATGAGTTGCTTGCTAAAGGCTGCCAGGCTGAACGAGCTCCAGTACAAAGTCCTTCTCCAGTGATTCCCCCCACAGGAGATGAGGGACGGGAGCCGCACACACCCCACCCCACACCCTGGGCGAGGCAGGGGTTCCTCCCGGGGAACATGGCTAGGTGAGCACTTGCAGCACTTTGCCTAGAATGCCAGGTTCTCATTTAACTCCTGATTTTACAGAGGGGGTGAACGGGGCGGGAGAGATGCTCCTTGTTCACCTGACTGTTCCCTCACCTTCCAGGTCAGAGACCACACTGTCCCCATAAGAAGGCCTGGATATGCATAAGGCAGTCTTATAAGTCACAGAGCCAAGGCAGAGGTCAGATGCCAAGTCCTCGTGGGTCATGGAGGGGTTGAGTTGGCCCACATGTTGGAGGAAGAAGCTGAGCCATGCCCATCATCCGTGTTTGCATTCCCACAATCAGGAATTGGCCCAAACATACAGTGAAGGGTAGGTAAGGTTCTGGCAGGTAAACTGCCACCTCTTCCAAGAAGCCTGCCCTGATTTCCCCCCTGAAGTGGCCTCTTTCCTCCTCTATGCTCTGAGCACTAGGTCCAAACCCCTCTTGGATCACTGTACCCATCAGGCTCAGTTTTATTCATCTCTCTTTAATGCTCAGCATAGTGACTGGCACCCAGTAGATACAAATAAGTCAGAGATGGAGAGGTGATGCCTTCTTGGGCTAGGACGTTAAACTAGATCACCTCTAAAGTCTATCGTCATGGTCAGGGGTAATGGTCTGTGATTCTGTTGATCTATATACATTACAGGGGAGAGAAAAACAGAGTCACTGCTTTCTTTCCATTGCTACCCTAACAAAACTTTGCTATATCTTTTATGCACACTACATGATAAATGTTGATCAGATAAAGGATGGTGTTGACTGATAAAATTGCAGAGAAAGGAGATTTGGATTTTGAACTTTGAAGAGAGAGAAATGGAAGTCTGCCTCTCAGCTCAAGCTTTTTCTTTTCCCGATGTACCAGTCAGGACAGGCTTGTTGTGCTGCAGTAACAAACAAACCCTGACTTCAGTGGCTTAAAGCAACCAGGGCTCATGTCTCGCTCCACCACACCTGCTCTGGGTCAGCGGATGGGCTGTACATGTACAATTCAGCCCTCCAGCCCGGAGAAAGCACGCATCACTCAGTTCATCATTTACCAGCCAGAGCTGCCCACATACTGCTCCGCTCTACCCCACACCCAGGCCGGGACATCCGAGGGCCTAAACTATGTGGGGTACATTCTTCCTGGCTACAACCCTCTAGTCCCTTTTCAGATCTTATTTTCCCTCATTTGTCTAAATTCCGTTTCACTCCAAGAGCTCCCACAAATCGGCACCGTGCCCCTCGTGGAACTTACTCTCCAAATCAAACAACACGCAAATGAAACTGGGGCCTGTTTATTTCAAAGTGCAGTGCGGCCCTGAAAAACATGTTGAGGAAAAAGACCTATAGATGTTGATCTCGGGTAATTCATAGGAGAGGGAGACATGGATGCAAAATCTAGCTTCCTGCTTGTGTGTCCCATCGGCAGGGAACAGACAGATACTCACCAAGCCCTCCAGCACCTGCAGGCTGAGTGATTCCTCGCTCCCACAGATGACGCCTTCAATGCACTGTCTTGTTGCGATCTTGCAGGGCTGCCAGCCATGGCCCTTTCTGCACTTTGGGGGGGAGAGGAGTGGGCCCAGGGCACTGGTAGACAGAGAGCTCCTTAGCATCCTTGGGGAAGGGGGGCATATGTCCTGCCAGCGCCAGCCAGCGGCCCCAGACTGGCTCCTCCGAGGACTGGCTTTGCCCATTTGCATCTCTCTGTCACCTCCCGCACAAAGTACGCTCAGTTAACCAGAGCACAGTCAATATTTGTGCAGTTGAATTAAAAACCAGTTGTCCACAGCATGTGGAGATGTTAGGGTACACATTTCCTACAGGTAGGTAAACCGCAGGTACACAAGTGGCTTACTCACGACAGCTCTGAGTAGGCTTCTCTTTTCAGACTTTTCGGAACAAGGAGGGGAAGAGAGAAATGGATGGAAGAAGGGAGAGAGGAAGAGAAGGAAGAAAGGAGAGAAGACGGGCTTGGACCGGGAGCTCAGCTGGTTAGAACGTTGTTCTGATAAGCCAAGGTTGCAGGTTCATTTCCTGGTCAGGGAACAAACAAGAATCAACCGAAGAAGTTTCTATCTCTCTCACATAAATAAATAAATACAATTAAAAGAGAGAATGAGAGGAAAGGGAGAGAGGAGTGGGAGGAGACAAGAAATACCCACTGTTACTCTGTTTCACTGTCTGACTCTGTCTTTGCTCCTGTGCCCAGAGACTGCATGGCGCCTGGCCCCTGCCCGGGCCCACTCCACCTGCTCCCCAGGTGGCCTCGATCACCCTCCCGGGGCTCCACTCCCCAGGCTGCTCATCCCTCTTAAGTATTTCTTAGTTGGTGGCTGCCGGTCAACTCCCAAACTGCCATCCACAGGGCACGGAAGCTCTCCAGCTGCAATTCACGACCACTGTCCCCCTGCCCACCTGAGCTCCCCCACTAGGAGGGGTCCCACTGGGAGCCACCAAGCACGCAGCTCTCTCTGGACCAGCCCGTGCTCTTCATTCATGTCCCCTGACCAAAACCCTCCAGGTGGGAGCCAGTGTCATCCTCTCACAGAGGAGGAAACCCAGGCAGAGAAGGGTGGGTAACACGCCCAGGGCCACACAGTGCAGTTGGCAGGTCCGAGGTCACGAGGTCACAAAGCCTGGACCCAGCCAGCCGGTGGCAGTGGCTCCAGGGTCCCTTCTCTTCTCCTTCCCAGACTGTTAGTCAGGCTGAGGCCTCAGACAGACCCGAAGGACCTGTGTGACCAGAGGCAGGTCACTTCACCTGTCTGAGCCCTCCTTTTTCCACCTATGAAATGAAGGCAGCCGCAGCTGCCACCACGCACAAGCCAGACAAGACACTGGAGAGAATGACGTGGCACTCAGTGACTCATTCCTTGGGCACTGCCAGCCCCTCCGGGAGCCTCTGTGACCTGCTGACCTTCCAGGCCACCTGCCTCTTGATGCTCCTGGTTACAAACATTAGCATTTCCTAGGCACACTCTGACATTGATGGAGTAGTAATTTGTTGAAAGATTGGTGTTTATTCCCCTGTATTTTTTACCTCTCCACCCCCCTTCCAGTTGAGGCAAGCTTCCTGCTACCTTGTCTGATGAATTTGACAAAGACTTTCTGGGAGAAAAATTTAAAACTATGGAAGAGATAATGCCAGGGAGAGAAGGGGAGCCTCGGGCAGATTTCTGAAGGGTGGGGTGCACGCCCTCCCATTCTGTGCCCTGGGAGACAGAGGGTCTCTGCAGTAAAGAGGCGAGGCCGGGACCTGGCATGTGGGCCCTGTGCCAGGATCCCGGTGCCCCAGACGTGGCATAAAAGTCCCAGAGTTGCCCACCTGAGGGAGCTCGGAGGACAAGCCAGCAGATGCTCTGGAGGTGACCAGTGTGACCGATGCATGATTGGAGGGGACTCTGATGCTTCGGGCCAGCTCTAGACTCAGA